TGAGAGTAAAGCAAATAGCATATGATTTCCCTTGTAATACTGATTTTCTGCATAGACAAAGGGGTTATGGATAATTTCCAGAGGCATGGTGATGTCACTTTTTATGAATTAAGTGCAAACAAAATACAAATATGATTCATTTCCTCGAATACAGCAGATTGTTTGTTATGCTTTTTACAAAAGGAGACCAATATGATACAATACACAGAGAAGAAGAGGGAGTGTTTGTACTTAATGACATCCCTTCCTGTAAGAATGCAACTCCTCCACACTCTGCCACAAGCAGATGCTTGTTGATAAGAACGTCATCAGAAAGTCTCTTTTTGCAGACGGTACACACAGTTTTCTGTTTGTTTGGGTTTTTTTTCTTTCAAGTAATGTTGTATAACACTGTCACAATTAAACTTCTAATTAGGTTTCACATAGTTATGCTCATGTCCAACAATCTCAGTGTCAAACTCTAGTTGCAAAAAATATTTGAATGCAAAGATTCGTGAATATGTCTTTGAGGAAAAGAGATGCTGATTGCACTTTAAATATTTAGCATAAGAAATTCCAACATGTTTAGCAGAAGGAACTGAAATCATTATACAAAGACTGTAAGTTTAAAGTCTTTTGGGGGAGGGTTAAGCATGACAATCGGAATTAACTGTATTCAAGTGTTTTTTTATTTTCTGAAAAAATATAAAATTTCATATCTTACACTACAAAAACATGTACACAAACCAAATGCACATAGAGCTTCAAACGGAGAAAAAATACAGAAATGCTAATTCTTCCTTGAATTAATGTTGAGGCAGGGACTTGAGATATCCCAACGCCTAACATAGAATAACGCTATATAGCTGCTTCTGACTTGCCTGAAACTAAAACATTCTAATAAACATATTAACAAATGACTGAGTCTAAGTTTTATTCTCAGACTACTATAAATGTAAATTTTTACACTTTTAAATAATAAATTGTAAAACTATTAGCATCTAAAGATGCACAAACATGTTGACCACTGAAACTTCTACTGTTAAGATAGCCCAGCTTGAATAAATATCACATTTTTTGCCACCTTCAATTTTTTTTCATTTACATTTAGAAGAAACAAATAACGTTTGATTCTGATTATTATAAATAGACTCTTTAAGAACTGGTGTCTTTTCCTAAGCAATAATTATGTGGTCATTCTGAATAAGAACAATTCAATCATTTATGTGTAAAAAGACTTCTTCATAAATCAACAAGAAATGAAAAGAAAGTTCTTATCTATTTCTTCTTTGATACGTTACTATATAATTAACAGCATAATAGAGAAAAATATTCAATGTAACCAGCTGTGCTACAGAGTTGAAAAAATGCTGACTTATTCTAGTTATTAATTTCAAATAAAACTAGCACTTTGATTGTTTATTCATTATCATCATCATCATTTTATTGTACCTACTTTTTATTTTGAGGTTAAACATCTGTCAGGACATAAGCAAAGACAGTTTACTATCATACTTAGCTTTCTTTTTTCTTTATTTTTAGAAAGGACAAAATGAGAAAAGGATCTTATTCTACTATGCAACATCATACATCTAGTAAATTTCTAACATCTGACTCAAATGGCATTTGCCATCTAATGTACAATTACAGCCAACAAATGTCTTCCACAGGTAAATATCTCTGCTTGTGCTTTTGAGAACCCACTTTAAATGGGAGAAAGAATGGTGTTAAAAAAATCTTTAACTTTCACATGGAGATTAAATAGCAGACATGCAAACACATTAAGTGCTCAACTGATATTAATTTTCCCTTTTAAACTTGAGATAGGAAACTATTTCTTCACCATTGCACACTGGTTAAAACTCTTACAAACTGAGTTAAGGATGTTTTGCATTGTTTTGGCAACTCTGAAACTAATAATGCTGACCACATTTAAGTTTAGGTAGAATATTGGAATATAATTTTTATAGTAATCCTACAATTTTAGAACACTGACTTGGTGATTATAATACAAGAAATAAAAGACCATGCACATTCATTTTTTTAAAATGGGAAAATCAAAATTTTTACATTTTTACATACAATTCATACATTTCAACAGCCAAGAAGAACTGATTATGTCATTTTTACATGTGAGCAAATGGCAAGATTAGAAAACAAATTATGATTGATAAAAGTAGAATTGAGTGACTTCGACAGATATCAGTAAGTTGAGAATTACTCCCTGCTTTTACCTCTTTTTCAAAGTTAAACACTGAGAAAGACTTATGCTTTAAAGGTATTGTTACTGATAGTTAAAATAACATTATGTTTAATTTGACAAATCTATCTTATGTACTAAAATTATTGAATCTATATTTTATTTTTGTTTTCTGGTAGGTGACGATATGAACCAAAAGGATAAGAAATCACACAATCAAGATTTGTCAAACCTTGCCCTGGGTTACTGCCTTGTTGCATTTCACAAAAGCTGCCTCTCTCCTTGTTCCACTTCTCACATTTATAGATGAGATTGGCACTTCCCAATTGGTGATATATCGAGTAGTGAACAAGTATTTTTTAAAGGAATTCTTTCTTCTTTTTTTGGGCGGGGGCGGGAGTGCATCTTCTAAAATCACATTGACATTCCTTAGAAAGTCTCAACCGAAGTGAGATATGGATGAAAGCTATGTGTTTATTTAACTTTCATCTCAATTTACTTTACAAAATATACATTAAGTTTGCAAAGGAAGGAAATAACTTTGATCGAAATTAATTTATAATGTTCTTTTGTGAAAAAGAGAAAATCTGCATTGTAACTTCAAATTCCAATTACTTAGATATATTCTGTCCTGACCTCCGAATCATCTTAGAACACATAAAGCTGGAAAACAATTTAAGTATATTTGTTATGTATAAGTAATTGTGGCTAGTCCATCAACTCTAAAATTTATGGTCATTTCTCTTTTAAATCAATAAATTTATTCTTACTTTGAAGTTTCTCAGTTGTTACTTTATCACTTATATTTGGTTGGTTTTACTAAATTCAATAAATGCAACACAATCTCCAAATTATTTTGTACAAAAGGAATTAGTTTAGTTACTTTTTTGTTTTCTGAAACAAACAAATGCACCTTTCATAATGGTGATGCCTCCTTACTTGTGATTTTATCAAGACAAAGTTAAGTCCATCTCTCTCTATTTTCTCTGGAAATTTCACTACTATAGAGTATACTTAAGCATAGTTTGTGTGGACGCATGGTACAGTACAGACCCAGTAAAGAATTATAGCCCTAATTGGACAGGACTCAATATATCATTTGAAATTGCTTAAAACTTCCTTTTTTCCCTATATTCTTTAGCAAAGAGATACTTAAGTAAAAGGTGGGCAGGGTAGAAAGAAGGTACGTCCTCAAAGTTTATTCTTGTATATGCTAACATTTGACTGAAACAGGCACTTGGGAAAGAGAGAGGGGGTACCAACAATATAATGCTGGTATATTCTCTATGGATGTCACTAATCCAAGCTACTCCAGTATAACTATTGCCACTGATAACCAGAAGTAGGCTGTATTTTGCTTAAATGCTGTGCTCTTTGAATAATCACATGTCATTCATGATTTATAAAGTGTAATAATACAAAAAAACTTGGTTATTTCACCAAGGAGCTCAGTTTTGTTCAAGTTCTAATAACGGTTCAAATGTCAGTCTTCACCAAGTGTGGTATATAGAATGTACATAGGATATATATTTCTTAATAAGGCCAGTTAAATAACACTTCAGATTGGCTCATCAAAATAAATTCAGTTCAGTGTAACTGAATACAAGATGAAATTACCAAATGAATAAACTGCCATCAACAAATAAAACTGTCAAGTCTTGCCATAGAGAAAATTCTAAAGGGAAAAATATATACATATGTATTTGTCATCATTCCATTGCTGCTTTAGTATCAAAATTTCTTAGAGCTGAGCCACAAGGGAAATGGTTACCAAGGATTAACACTTAGGGGTAATGCTTGGTGCTATGTGCTGGATTTAACAACATTAACAGAAGTCTGCACAGTTAAATCCTTCTACATCCTGCTGAAAACGTGCCCTTCGGTGTCAACTTTGCTTGACAAGATATTTTCTGGGACTCAGAAAGGTGAAATTTCTTACAGGGGTGCAAGATTAATGGCTAGAAGAACTGCATTATCACAGATATCACAAAGTATTTTTAAAACGCCAAAGGGGATTTAGTCTTTTAGACATTTCCTGTTGGTGAATAAAGAGATTTAGTAGCTTTTAGACACATGAGAGGAAAAAAGACACAAGCTTGGGTTAAATTTTGTTTTAAGCTTCCCTATTTCTCTGATTCCTAATACACTCTGGAACACTTGTTCCTGAATGTTGCTAAAATTAAAACACTATTAACAATGCAAGCAGAATGGTAATACACACATGTGCAAGCCACACACACACAGAGCTCCAACTTAAATTGATTCCTGGGTATATAGCAAATTATACAGTATATTCACAGTTATTACCTAGTAGTTTCTAGAAGAACAACTATAAGTAAATTTTATAACACAGAAAAATAAATATACACCCTGTATTGTACTTGTCCTTGATCAAGCAACATGTTTATACACTAGTTTCTATAACTTAACGCTGTGTAACAGCATTTAAAATTACAAAAGAAGATATCTATTTAGAAATTATCTAACCATATTGCTCTTCAATACACTTATGTAGACAATTAAGACTTGAAGTTTGAAGTAAACTTCAGTAAACTGCAGCTTTTGTTAGCCCACAAATGGCTATAAAACTTTTTCTTTCAAACAGATTCTTGGAAATTTTGAAAAGGGCTGCCTTCTTTCTATAAAGGTGCTATAGGGGCTTCCCTGGTGGCACAGTGGTTGAGAGTCCGCTTGCCGATGCGGGGGACACGGGTTCGTGCCCCGGTCCGGGAAGATCCCACATGCCGCGGAGCGGCTGGGCCCCTGAGCCATGGCCGCTGAGCCTGTGCGTCCGGAGCCTTTGTGAGAGGGGCCAGCATACCGCAAAAAAAAAAAAAAAAAAAAAAAAAGGTGCTATATATAGTTATATATTTCATGTATAAAATTTTGTAGAAGTAGTGAGAAGGATTTTGTTGTAATATAAGATAATGTTTAGCCTCATGTTCTTATTCCATGCAGGTTATATTTGCTTCATGAAAAATGAAGATATTGAGAGGAAGATAAAGAGATTTTAGTAAAACACTGATCACAAATTCTGTGGCTGAAACAAACGCTTTCTTAAGGTTTAGAAATCACTGAGTTTTCCCTTTTACCCCCTTTTTTGTTAAAATAAATCTCAGGGCTTGTTTACAAAGTGCAGAATCATTCACTTGACGAAGTGACAATTAACTGAAGTTACAATGGCACCATCCTGTTGACCAGCTGCACCTTCATTTCTTGAAGGCTGTTCATAATCTTCTTCTGGTGACCAACAAGAGTCACTCCAAGCCGTCTCAAATCCCTGCATGAAGAAAGCACACATTGGATGTATGTATTGATTCAATTTGTAGCACACCTCAATATTTCACGCTGGCAAAGAGGCAAACATTTTGCAGAAACTAATTAGATTACAGTCCCAATTTAGACATACAGGGTCCAGTTTTCAAAAGCAGGCTCTAAAATTGTACCTGAAAATCTGTCTGCAGTCAAAGATATATTTACAACAAGGAGTGATATATTATACATTTGCCACCCTTTTTGGACATGATTATTTTGGTGGCACAGAGCAATGAAAAAACAAATTTACACATGCTTACCAATAAATATTTAAATTAAAGGGTACAATTTCATTGAACGGTTTTGAAAATATGAACCTATAATATGAACAAGCACTTTTTTTTTTTTTTGCTAAAAGAAGTGAGCATAAAATATACTTTTAAAAATTTCATAGCTAAGCAGTTGAAGACCAAACTTTTCAAATGACTCAGTGCAATCATCTTCTATAACAGATATCTTTAGGGGATAATCAGCACTACATTGCTCTTATAACACTTACAAATATTTTATTTTTTACTTGGAACCCAAAGTAGAGGAGCTTTCTTCCTTTATCAAATACATCTAGGCTCTATTGGCATTTAGAGCATTCTGAAGATTACACGCTATCAAGCAGTCTTTTTAACCAAGATGCTCTCATACTGTTTCTTTTAAACAAGCTTATTATTCAAAAGAAAACTACAAATGTTTAGATTCCTAAACTACTAGAATATAATGGAGCTCAAGGCCAGTGCTCATGGTTTTTAAATGTTATTTCATAGGATATTCAGGAATTCTATTTTCCCAAAATATGCATTTGGCAAATATAATAATTCAGGTACATTTGGCAAATAATAACGTTGATTATAAAAAATGAGCATTAACAATTCAAGATTTTTAAATGACAAGGGATGTTTGGTATGTTAGATTTTTTAGATAATTACTCTATTTAACACATTATGCTAAAAGTAGAATATTTTTGCATTCAGTAAGTGCATCAATTTCAGATTGTCTTAGAATTCTTTAGAATTGGACACAATGACACTAGAATTATTATATGTAAAATTGAATAGTTTTGGAAGATCAAAGAAATCTCTTAATTATCAGAGGATACAAATTGAATAAAAGGGTATTTAACCTCCATGTGTATTATTATTGGAAATAATTATTTATCTAAATAATATCTTAGGTGTCTTTTTCTATTTATGTTTTCTTGATTTCTTATGAGAGTTTTAGCAAATGGCAAATAGCTAAAAAAAAAAGAAAAAAGCAATCACTTGGCTAGATAACACAGCCAGTCTTAGCAGAACCGGGACTAAAACCAGGAATCTGACACCAAAGTCCATACTCTTAATTTCTCATTTCTCTGAGATATAATTTTGAGCAAAGAACTTTAAATTACATGTAATTATTTATTCACCTGTAAAATGAGAACTCTGTATATATAACATCAAATATCCAAAATTCTATAAGAAAGAAGATATCTAATAAAGGAAACCAAACACTTACTTCTTTGACTGAAGCTATGGAAACACAATCTATAGAAGTATACTTCATGGCAACTACAGTTATGGGCTGTATAACTAATACTCATGTTTCCACATGTAATTTATGCATCATGAATTGTGAAGACAGGAGAATTCATGGGTGCTCACTACCAAACTTAGGACCTAAGTCAGGAGAAAAGAGTCTAAAATTTCTTAAACTGAAAGCAATCGACCTCTACTAGAGAATGTAAATAATTAGTACTTGAAATAAAGTTTAAAACATATGTTTTATCACATGCTTTATAAATCTACAGGTGATTCTGACAAATTCAGATTTGAAAGTACTGATTTAATATATACATACTTAAACTGCACAATTCATATGGCCAACCCAATTAATATGAATGAGGCTTTGAAAATAGCTATTACAGTTTATTCTGAAAGACCTGAAAAAATTTTACAGGTTTTCCTGCTCAAACAGGGTGGACTTTGCATATACAATATCAAAACCTTAATTTGAAGTGTGTATCTATGGCGGGGGGCATGGGTGTATGCGTGTATGTATTCCATATTCCAACTCTTGGTTGTTTTGTCTAACTCATGAAATCATTAGTTTGACTTATTTTTGTTTCCACTGTCTTAACCTGTTATTATATTATATGTAAGTATAACCTCATTCTCTGCAAATAACCACAAGAAAGACTCTGGTTCAGTGCTTTGGGAATTTAAATTTTTTGTGGCATCTATATCATGCTAAAGAATGAATGCTTTAAGGAATTGTATTGGATTAATACAGTTATAGAGTTTGTGTTTACAGGCAAATAAAACCTGTCCTTCTTCAGAACATTTCATATATCTAGATTTTAAATTAAATTTGGTTGAATTTTCCCAAGCATAAAATTTTATTTAGGATCATCTTATGATCTGATTATCCCCTAAGATTCATACGGAAGGTCAGACCACTGAAATTCTCTCTCTCCTTCTTCCTCTCTCTCCCTCCATCTCACCTCCCACCTTTACCCCTCCTTCCATGGGATAAACGGAATTATGAGAACACAGCATTGAGTTTTACATACTGCCATAAATTATGTCTTTAATGGAATGCTGTTGTTTTTAAAATCTGATCTGTCATTTCAAAAGCTGTCAAATTAATGTGCAGAGATTTAGAAAGTAGCATTTATAATGCATGCAATATACATTTACCTTTATACAATGTGATTTACAGTTAAAAAGTGGGCAGAAATAAGATTATTAATGCAGTTAAACTTGTTCTCAGCAGCAAAGTAGTTTCTTTAAAAATCCCATTTATTATTTTTCTAATAATACTACAAATGAGAATTAAAAAGGTATTAGAAAAACGTTTCTAATAAAGGCTAAGTAACTTTATTCCAATATTGATAAGTACATTAAAGTATTTTCTTTTATGTAGTTTTGTCTCACACTTTTGTGATTTCCAACAATTTCCATTTTACTCCTTAAAGTACATATTAAATGGTCAATTTAACAGTAATAATGTGAAAGAAATTTGATAAAAACTGAAGTATTTTACATTTCATGATGAAGGTGCTGCTCTATTTGCAATGATTTTTGAAAAACTAACTTGAAAATGGTTTAAGATGTATTTTACTACTTCATTTTTCTATATAGGAATTTTTGTAGCAAGGCAAAGTTTTAGGTGTGTCCCCTTTACAAATATTATACTAATTTTTATCATGACCACGTGTAATCTTAAGTAATACCCAAAGCCAATTCTAATGATGATAAACTATATTTCAGCATAGGCCTATGAATCTAAACATGATGAGAATAGTATTGTTACATAAAAAATGATTTGGATTTTGTCAACAGCATGGTTAGTTTTAGAAACGCTGCAAATATAATGAATTGCCATTGTTGTGATGACATTCCAATCTTTTTTTCAAATGTTATTCCATAATATTAAATAATGGAAAACACTGATATTATGGTGCTAAAATGGCAGAATGAAAAATGGAGAATAACGAGAGGTGTTTAGTTGATATTGGAGCCAGCTCTTGATTATTCAGGATGTAGTTCATCCACTTGTAGAGGAAACATTCCCTTACATTCTTCTCCCTTCTGCTTTACACACCTTTTAGCCATATCATTGGTACTTAGCCCCACCAACACTGGCTGGATAGGAGAAGGGAGAAGAGAGTTTAATGAATATTCACTAAATTTCAGTGCTTATTCTTTTTGTCATAGTTTTATTATGCAGTTGTATGTTTGGACTTCTTTGGTTCACTTAAAGAATCCTGATAATCATTATCTATGTACTGTACAAGATAAATATACATATATTTGGCAAGAGAGAACTTAACCATGACCTGGCTATGTTTTTCAATGGTTGAGACCTTGTGAGGGTTACACTAGACATTTTAGCTTACTTATGTAGAGCACAGAGGATAGTAAGCACTCCTATGTGTATTTTAGGCATATAATAAATTATGCATAATGATAAGTTAAATTTATTTGAATTAGTGTGCACAAATTTTGGCTCTAGATTTGTGACACTTTCCTTTAAAATATTTTAATATTTTAAGACCCTATTTTAATAAATGATACTAATAGGAATCTCTTCAGCTTACATACAATTGATATAATATTTAAGTTCATTGGACTTTGCTCATTTTCTGAATAATCAAAAGTTGACAGTACTGGTCTGACAAGTTTAAAAAACAGCTGTAATACTGTCCTTAATTCAAATCTTTGGATTCATTTTGCAACTCACCTCAAGCTCACAATTCCCCCTATCGACCATAACTCACTGCACTTAAACACCATAGTACAGATTGCATCATTACTGCTACAACAATTGTTCTAATATGAGTACTGTTCACAGAACAGCAAAGTTTAGGCACAGTGATCAGCAGACAGAAACATCTAAGGTTGAAAGCCACTTTCATTGAACACATTTTAACTCTAAGATCTTGAAATATTTCATTTCTATTCCACATCAAGCCATACGTGTATGTGCTGGCAAAAACAAAAAACATAAATAAAATTAAAACTTTATGACGGAAATTTTCACCAAAGTATGTGGTTCTGAAAAACTGTAATTGTTTACTCTTCCTTATTCTAAACCCACCATGAGAACAAATTTAATGGCACAAATTATAGCATATTTTTCTTATGTAGGTATATGGCAGTTTGATCTTTTGCTTTATATTAATTAATTTTATTTTTTTCTAAGCATTTATTACAGGTATGAATATTTCTTCCATTTCTCAGTTTCTATTATACTCTGGCAATAATACTGACACTAATATCTTATTTTATTATAGTATTATACAGGCTACATAAAATTATTGTTTAGATATAGGCAAAGACTATGTATATATAAATCATTAAGTAGTTAAGAGTTTGTCTTTACTGATATTCCAGTTCCTTTGCCATAGTCTTTAATAATGACTGACTTTTTTTGGTGAAAGTCTAGCAAAATGCATAGATAATTTTGTTTCTTATATTTCTGACCAAACAAGTAACTGATAACCCACTCTTTTGTGAGTTATTTAACATAATATTTTGATAAATATGTTCTTACTAATAGGAAAAAAATATGCTCAAAAACACAATAAACAGGACTTCCCTGGTGGTGCAGTGGTTAAGAATCCACCTGCCAATGCAGGAGACATGGGTTCAATCCCTGGTCTTGGAAGATCCCACATGCCACGGAGCAACTAAGCCCATGTGCCACAACTACTGAGCCTGCACTCTAGAGCCCTCAAGCCACAACTACTGAGCCCGTGTGCCACAACTACTGAAGCCCGTGTGCCTAGAGCCCATACTCCGCAACAAGAGAAGCCACTGCAATGAGAAGCCTGCACACCACAATCAAGAGTAGCCCCTGCTCGCCGCAACTAGAGGAAGCCCACGTGCAGCAATGAAGACCCAACTCGGCCAAAAATAGTAAATAAAAAATAAATAAATTTATTAAAAAAAATCAGTCCTCCAATTCAAATATTTAAAAAAAAAACAAACAAAAAACCCCACAGTAAACAAGATGACATGTATTTAAAAGGTGTTGGACTCTCCAATAAATCAGCTTCACTGAGGTTAAGGTTGGCTGGCTCAGTTCCTAGTAAGGAATGTGTTATTATGGTCCCAAGCAAATGACACATGGTGACCAACATTCTCTGAACAGGAAGATGTTGGTAAGTCTCTTAATTTCACCTTACTCTTCTGGTCAGAGTAAATAAATTAAAACATAAAATATCTGACAGAAGGCAATATAACAGGAGGCAACAAGCTACCAAAGTAACAGAGAGAGAAGAAATTGAACCAAGTAGAGAAGAACTGACCAGACAAAAATACTGGAAAAGAGAAATGAGTTGCAGACCATCATAAGATGATAGAAGAAGCTATTAGGGCTTGAAAGAAAACATACAAAATGAGAGAGTTTAGAGATAGAAGGGAAAATAGGAAAGTAAAGAGAAAGGAATTAAAAGAAATAAGAAAAAGTGAAACCATAATTCTAAAACACTCAACATATTTACAGTATTTGGGGGCCCCAAAGAAAGTAAAACAGAGGTAGTTAATGCAAAAGCCATTACTGGTGATTATAACTATTCTCTGAAGGGAGAAACAAAAAAAGTAGTGGATATAAATATATACATGTATATGTGCTATTTTAATAAAAAAAGAGACATCATTTAATGCAAATAGTTTTATTATATATTTACAAGTAATCTGACATCGGGTAGAAGAAATACCTACAGTATCATTTTAATATAAAATGACAAATGACTTTAATAAATTAAAATGACCATTTTTACAGAAAAATTAAAGAGCAATCATGTAAAAATAGTTTTAAATTATCAGTAAAATTTTCCATTTATTATTTTAAGTATAGCACAGATGAGTTTTTTGAGTGTCCAAAGAAATAATGGGCAAAGTATATGTGTCATCAAATATATATGATTTAGTGGTGATGGTGAAAATGAGATTCAATAAATTAAGATAGCCAGCTGAGTGGTGATTTTAGGTCCTTTTAGCTATAGTTATGGAGAAGAGAAATGCTGAGAGAATATGACATTAATTGGTGATAAATGAAGGTACCCTGTTACCTTTTTGTGGATGGGCAGTGAATTCAATGAACCAGAGAATGCCAGAATAGAAATGGTGAGAACCAAGCATTCAGTGTTCATATTATGTGAAGTAATGGAAGAAGGTCTGTGGTTTAGTGCTTTAGAAGGTTCTACCATGTTTTAAACCTTACAACAATATTTTAACCTTTGAATTTGTAGGTAATTTGAACTAAGTTATCATTTTATTCACAGGTTAAAACATCATTCGTGTTAATGTAATCTAGATGTAACCACCATAACAACAGTTAATTTTCACAAATAACAAATATTAGGCTAAAGTAATTACACATACAGAGTATATAATAAGATACAAACAACTTACAAGAATTCAATATTTAACTCTAGTGATTTTTATTTAATAAGATTTGATAAACTTTATCTTAAACGTGCAAACAGAAAAGGGCACAATTGGTTCCACTGAGATTGTACCAAATAACAAATCAGAGGCAGGATCTAATATATCCTTGGATTGCAAGAATATAATATGCACCACTTAGAGAGTAAACAAGATTCCTGCCTGGGAAGCTTTGCTTAAGGTGATGTTACCTGGGTATTCATCAGAGCCAAAATTTAAGAGTATGTTTTGTTGTTATTTAGGGCTAGCCACACCAATTGTGCTTACAGTTTGTTTTGTTTTGTATTTACATTCATATAACATAGGTATCAGTATAAAAACTGTCAAGAAAACATCTTTTCCACAACACAAAGTACCAGTATTTTGCCAAGGAGATGTTATTCCAATTATTCAAATATGCAAATGTTATTTGTTTGAAGTAAAGAAGCAAAGATACTGGCCACAAGTAGCATTAACCATGCAGTTGTTAACAATACAGGCTAAAAATGAAGAGGCTTCTTTGAAAGCTGCCATACATGGACAAAGGTTAACTGATTTCCCTTGACCTCATCCAGATTGGTTTCTGAACAATTTTTCTCACCCCAGCAATTATGTAAAAATTATCAGAAAAATTACTCACTCCAAGGTCACCTGAGCCACAGCGTCCATTGAACTGTATCCATTTTCCATGAAAATCTCTGTATATCGGCCCATTTTGATTGCTTCTAGCCATTCACCTACTGATCTGTAGGCCCCAGACCCCAGTGAGCCATGTTCTGCTAACAAATTAGGTACTCTAAAACACATAAAACACAAATATTAAAAGTAACATTTAAACTCTTTTGTAACAAATTATATTGTAATATTAGCTCATAATCAATGGATCTTTGAGTCTATAAGTATATTTATAATAGAAAAATATACAAATGCTAACAAGGAAGAAAGTAATTCAAAATACAGAACACAAAACAATCTGCTCAGATTTTTTCTATCGATAGTTAATGATGACTTATAATGGCTTGATATGTACATTAGCTAAAAATTCCATGTAGTAATTTAGATGTATTTACTTCCTAAAGCTGTTTTGTTTGTAAAAATAATATAGAAAATGCTACCGAATAGAGATATGCAGGATAATTTGTGTAAAGCCAATTGCTTCTAGACTTCACTAGAGAAACTCATGCTCATTTAAGCTACTTTCCCAGGAGACCAGAAGTTAGTTATCCTTTATATTATGCTCTTACATATACAGGGGTGCTTGTTAATTCACCTAATTACTGGTTAATTCCAGTAGTGGAACTGGAAAGCAAAATGTAACCCCCAATACATAAGAAAACTGAATAGAATTAATCAAACCATGTGATGCTCTTAACTATACTAAATTTATACACTTTGGCCAATAATATATGATATGATAATGATGATGAGGAAGATGATAATTCCTAGAAAGGTATCCTAAGGAAATAATCAGGAAAAATGGCAAAAAGTACATGTGCACATTTTTGCTAATGAAAGTAAACATCAAAAGCAATTTAAATGTCCATCAGTGAGAGTTTACTTAAGTACATTTCAACCATAAGATATAGGACAAATACCTTTCTTACTACTCATGTTCTCTGTACTTTCTCACATCCCATTTACACTTCAACCTACTTCAGTGTAGTTTCTTCCACACCAATTCTGTAAAAATTGCTCTGGTTAAGGTGAGCAATGACCTCGATTTTATCAAAATCTGTGAAGATTTTCCAATATGTAAGATGACTGACCTTTCAGAAACATTCAACAATCACCACTACCACCTCCCTCTTGAAATATTACCTTACCTCAACCTTTTTTGAATCATTGTTCTCTCTTTTGTGGCTACCATAACACTGTATGTGTCTCTTCAATCTCCTTTGCTTGCTTCTTTGTCTGACTTTAAAATTTGGAGGTAGCCAGGACATGGCTCTATATCTTGTCTACTCAGGCTATAACTTTATTCTACTTTAGGCAGTTTTACCCACTTTCATAGCATCTATTTTTCTCCGATTTTCATCTCCTGCCTAAATCTCTCATATATTCATATGCTTACTTCATGTCTCCATTAGTTCCTGGGATTCTCATCACAACATGTCCAAAGCCACACTACTCATCTTCTCCACATCCAGTTCTTCCTGAAGTTCTCGTCTTTATACTCTATGATACAATAGTCTGCTCCTTCCTCGTTTTCAGTCCCCTCACAATCTATAATTGTGTGTACTATCCATTCGACTTCCAATATATTGCAAATCTGACCATTTCTATTTAATTTGTCACCACCTTAGTTCAAGACATCATCATGTCTTACCTGCACAAGCACTCTAGCTCATAGTTATTCTGCTAAATTCTACTCACTTTCACAATGTTTTTATTTTGTTTATCTCTCTCTCCCACAACTGTGTGTTGCTCAATGTTGTATATTCAGCACCTAGCCCACAGCATGACACAGAGTAGACACATGAATATTTATTGGAGGAATAAGTGGACATTTGGTAGTAATTTGTAGCCATTAAACAGTACAGTCAAAGATTTGTTGAAGATAGAATGGAGTATAGAATCTGGAAGTTGAGATTATAGAAGATTTGCAATTTTTGGTAATAACAAAGTCTAGAATATGACTATGAAAAGGAGTTCAAGGTGGGCTAGAGACCAAAATCATTGAAGGGGAAAATTTCAAGTATTGAGAGATATTTGAATATCATCTACATGGTTACTCAAATCACCTAGTTTTGTGACATGGGTTGGGATAGAGAGAAAGAGACAGTGAATCAGGAACTAACACCTTCTAGAACCAGGATTTGTAGATGACTGAATAAAGATGGGGTAGTGAGAGATACAGTCCTCCCCCAGTATCTACAGGGGATTGGTTCCAGGACCCCGCCCTCCACCCCATGGATACCCAAAACTATGGATGCTCAAGTCCCTTATATAAAATGGTGTAGTACAGTCGGCTCTCCACATCTGCACATACAGAGGACCAACTGTATAGTCTTAAGCTAAATCTATTTAAATGAAACCTAGCAAGCTGAATTCTACATAATACATACAAGGAAGTATGAAAGTTCTTTGGAGATTTTAAAGCTGCTCTCAAGCTATAATGATGCTGCTGATATAAATTAATACAATTTAGAACATAAAAATATATTTTTATGATTTCCTTTCCTTATATCCATTTGTGACAACTTAACATAACTCAGACAAGTAGATGAGAGAAACACAATATTTTAGATGACAATAAACAATTTAAAGCACTTATTTTGGGAACAACATAAGGAATGATCTCTAAGATGCATTCTCCAGTTGCTACCATAGAAAGTTAATGATGCCTGAACAGAGTTTGAAGATTCATTCCTCATTTATATTAAAAAATGACTTTTTGCCTAGTAAACAAATGTTATACCAGAATCATAGAACTTATGTAACTTTATCAACAAATTGTTTCTCATTTAGTTCATACTATGGGCAGCCAATTCAGTTACCAGCAGGATACCTTTTCTTGTGGAGATAGACAACTGTCTTATATATAGTGAAAATAACAATTGGGTAAATTTTCTAGTACAGAATCAAACTGATTTATTTTTTGAGAGGATAATTTTGTAATTTTTCAGGTAAAAGAGGTAAGAATGCTTTATATAATGTAACATTATTTAAATGCATTCACATGCATTCAGAAAAGTTTAAAAAATGCTCATTTGTTCACACAAATTTTTTCCACAAGATTACTCATTTATTATTTTTAAGTCCTGTTCATACTATGCAGTAAATGATTATCCAAATATCTGTACTCAACTGGAAAAGGAGTTGTTGATATTCATAAAATATGACAGGTGGTGAAATCTATTCTAAGGAAATCAAAGAGTAATTGTTGTTATATATCTCCTGTTTAAAATTATACCAGTGCTTAATTGGCTTTTACCCATCATCTTATAATCTTATTTTCCCCCATCCAAACCTATGTGGGGTCCAAAGCACCTGAAAATACACATATTTGGGGATTTTTTAAAATGCTACCTGAATCTGGCTATAGTTAACATTTACCTGAAACTGGTAGGTTAGACTATTAGATTAGGTACAGGTGTTTTAAAGTATAATTTAACCATTTATATTTCACTCATTATAAAAGAATAACATTATGCAAAAACCATATTCAAATAAATTAGTGTAATATAGGTTCATAGGCTAGCATGTGTACACAAATAATTTCATTAACTTGATATTTGTGGCATCAATCTGAATTAGCAATATTCAGAAAAACCTCTCCAGACTGGCCTTGTACCTGCTTGATGCATTGACCAGCGTCTTCAAGCTACTTGGGTTACGGATCAGCTTGTCCAACATGTTGACGATTTCATCAAACTTGGGCCTGCTATTTCGGTCTTTCTGCCAGCAATCCAGCATTAATTGGTAGAGAGCAGCAGGACAGTCCATGGGGCTTGGCAGACGGTAGCCTTCCTCTACAGCTTTAATCACCTGTGTAAAGTGAAACAGAACCGGTCCCCCAAAGCCACAAATTTAGTACAGAATAGCTTGAGAAATTTCCTACTGTTCAGTTTGCATCCTTTCTTACTCTTACTCTTGCAGTAACAAGCAGCATAACTGTCTCTAACAACCTTGATTATTCCATTTGCTGCAAAATACAACAAAGAAAAAATATGCTATTGCACAATATAAAAAAAGATAGGCTTTCCTCACATATGGTAAAGAAAATAAATGGTAATCATCTTTACCTAAAATCTTGGTGTAGGGTGATTTGTAAAATTAATTGACATAAAAATAAACAGTTCATCTTTTATTTATCCTCGCATTCTGGAATCAAATGGAGATTAACTTTTCTAGTGGCCTCTCTGAAAAGTTAATGTCTTTTTAATGAAAAATTATGTGTAGAACAACATTTTTTAAAGTAATAGAACTGCAATTTTACTTCTAAAGAGACTTTTGGATGGCAAATGATGGATAAGTCAAAGGCTAAATTAGCATAAATGTCTTATGTATCATTTAATAATGTCAAGGTCTGGCTGTTTATTATCATCTACTGATTTCTGTCAGGAATTTGGAATGACTGTTTAGTAGTGCAGGCATTACAAAGATCATTGATTTTAAATGCAGCCACACATATGAGTATCAGTCTAATTGTGAGATTGTTTTATCAAAAACATTCTTAATGTTGCTGCTGCCATCAAAATGTCTAATTCCAGAAGAGTTCTGTCTATGCTACTGAACATAATAATACAACTTTTATTCAATTATTAAAATTTTAACATTTAAATGATAACCCAAACCAATAATAATGAGCATATTTCTCAAAATCCTATTTGAATAATTACTTAATGATTAAACTTAATTATATTTTTCAACAAGCACTTTAGATTTGATCTGAAAAATGGAAAAAATATGATGATTAGAATAGAATTTTTACCAAGATAATTTTGAAAGATTGTAGAGAAACCAGTTTCTCAATGATAAAGGAAATGACATCTGAACAAAAGTAGTGGCAGATGGAGAGATTTCGGAGACATTTATAACATAAGGGTAGAGGTGAGAGTAGAGAAAGTATTTGAGAGAAAACAAGTTCAAGTCTTTCACACCGGATGGTTGTTGTGATTAATTTTCGGTTAGCACATTCATGCGGGTGGGAAATGCTGACAGGTATAATTTGGGGCTTGTTTTATTTGAGGTGAGTAGGGAACCACAGATGGCAATCTACAGGAATCTGTCTGCAGTACAGGAGATATTTGAGCTGATAATAAATGTGAGGGTCATCAACGCTTGGTCACAGCTTGAAGTAGGGTATAGTTTATATCTCCCCGGGAAGGCATGAAATAAAGGTTCCTGAGAAGCACCAACAGTTAAGTTTGGGCAGAGAAATAAAAAGTACTCAAAGACTCTAAAAATAAACGGTCAGATAAATAACTGAATAACTATGAGCAAAATACCTGGGAGTCATCTACCACTTTAGTTGACTCAAAAACAATACATCTTTGTTATTATTATTTAATTTTATTTTCTGAACATCTTTATTGGGATATAATTGCTTTACAAGGGTGTGTTAGTTTCTGCTTTATAACAAAGTGAATCAGCTATACATATACATATATCCCCATATCTCCTCCGTCTTGTGTCTCCCTCCCACCCTCCCTATCCCACCCCTCTAGGTGGTCACAAAGCACTGAGCTGATCTCCCTGTGCTATGTGGCTGCTTCCCACTAGCTCTCTATTTTACATTTGGTAGCGTATATATATGTCCACGCCCCTCAAAAGTTAAAAGGCATAGAGGGAATTTTCCTCAACATAATAAAGGCCATACATGACAAACCCACAGCCAACATTGTTCTCAATGGTGAAAAGCTGAACCCATTTCCACTAAGATCAGGAACAAGACAAGGTTGCCCACTCTCACCACTATTATTCAACATAGTTTTGGAAGTTTTAGCCACAGCAATCAGAGAAGAAAAATAAATAACTGGAATCCAAATTGGAAAAGAAGAAGTAAAGCTGTCACTGTTTGTAGATGACATGATACTATATAGAGAGAATCCTAAAGATGCCACCAGAAAACTACTAGAGCTAATCAATGAATTTGGTAAAGTAGCAGGATACAAAATTAATGCACAGAAATCTCTGGCATTCCTATACACTAATGATGAAAAATCTGAAATTGAAATTAAGAAAACACTCCCATTTACCACTGCAACAAAAAGAATAAAATATCTAGGAATAAACCTATCTAAGAAGACAAAAGGTCTGTATGCAGAAAATTATAAGACACTGATGAAGGAAATTAAAGGTGATACAAATAGATGGAGAGATGTACCACGTTCTTGGATTGGAAGAATCAACATTGTGAAAATGGCTCTACTACCCAAAGCAATCTAGAGATTCAATGCAATCCCTATGAAACTACCACTGGCATTTTTCACAGAACTAGAACAAAACATTTTACAATTTGTATGGAAACACAAAAGACCGTGAATAGCCAAAGCAATCTTGAGAAAAAAATAAAAAACAGAGCTGGACGAATCAGGCTCCCAGACTTCAGATTATACTGCAAAGCTACAGTAATCAAGACAGTATGGTACTGGCACACAAACAGAAATATAGATCAATGGAACAGGATAGAAAGCCCAGAGATAAACCCACACACATATGGTCACCTTATCTTTGATAAAGGAGGCAAGAATATACAGTAGAGAAAAGACAGCCTCTTCAATAAGTGGTGCTGGGAAAACTGGACAGCTACATGTAAAAGAGTGAAATTAGAACACTTCCTAACACCATACACAAAAATAAACTCAAAATGGATTAAAGACCTAAATCTAAGGCCCAACACTATCAAAGTCTTAGAGGAAAACATAGGCAGAACACTCTATGACATCAATCACAGCAAGATCCTTTTTGACCCACCTCCTAGAGAAATGGAAATAAAAACAAAAATAAACAAATGGGACCTAATGAAACTTAAAAGCTTTTGCACAGCAAAAGAAACCATAAAGAAGACCAAAAGACAAACCTCAGAATGGGAGAAAATATTTGCAAATGAAGCAACTGACAAGGGATTAATCTCCAAAATTTACAAGCAGCTCATGCAGCTCAATATCAAAAAAAGCAAACAACCCAATCCAAAAACGGGCAGAAGACCTATATAGACATTTCTCCAAAGAAGATATACAGATTGCCAACAACCACATGAAAGAATGCTCAACATCATTAATCATTAGAGAAATGCAAATCAAAACTACAATGAGGTATCATCTCACACCAGTCAGAATGGCCATCATCAAAAAATCTAGAAACAATAAATGCTGGAGAGGGTGTGGAGAAAAGGGAACACTCTTGCACTGCTGGTGGGAATGTGAATTGGTTCAGCCACTATGGAGAACAGTATGGAGGTTCCTTAAAAAACTAAAAATAGAACTACCATACGACCCAGCAATCCCACTACTGGGCATATACTCTGAAAAAACCATAATTCAGTAAGAGTCATGTACCAAAATGTTCATTGCAGCTCTATTTACAATAGCCAGGACATGGAAGCAACCTAAGTGTCAATCGAAAGATGAATGGATAAAGAAGATGTGGCACATATATACAATGGAATATTACTCAGCCATAAAAAGAAATGAAATTGAGTTATTTGTAGTGAGGTGGATGGACCTAGAGTCTGTCATACAGAGTGAAGTAAGTCAGAAAGAGAAAAACAAATACATATTACTCAGCCATAGAAAGCAATGAAATTGAGTTATTTGTAGTGAGGTGGATGGACCTAGAGTGTGTCATACAGAGTGAAATAAGTCAGAAAGAGAAAAACAAATACCATATGCTAACACATATATATGGAATCTAAGAAAAAAAAAAGGTCATGAGCAACCTAGGGGCAAGACGGGAATAAAGACACAGACCTACTAGAGAATGGACTTGAGGATATCGAGAGGGGGGAAGGGATATCGGGAGGGGGGTAGGGTAAGCTGTGACAAAGTGAGAGAGTGGCATGGACATATATACACTACCAAACATAAAATAGATAGCTAGTGGGAAGCAGCCACATAGCACAGGGAGATCAGCTTGGTGCTTTGTGACCACCTAGAGGGGTGGGATAGGGAGGGTGGGAGGGAGGGAAATGCAAGAGGGAAGAGATATGGGAACATATGTATATGTATAACTGATTCACTTTGCTATAAAGCAGAAACTAACACACCATTGTTATGCAATTATACTCCAATAAAGATGTTAAAAAAAAGGCTATAACTATGTGATAGTGTCCGTAGAAAATATTTCAAAAACTATAACACATGCTTAACATATCTAATGCATTAAAATCTCATGCATATTGAGAAATAAAATAATAAAACAATAAAATGAAACGACAAATAAATAAGAAATAGGTACTAATCAAAAATTTACAAAAGGGCTTCCCTGGTGGCGCAGTGGTTGAGAGTCCACCTGCCGATGCAGGGGACACGGGTTCATGCCCCGGTTCGGGAAGATCCCACATGCCGCGGAGCAGCTGGACCCATGACCCATGGCCGCTGAGCCTGCGCGTCCGAAGCCTGTGCTCCACAGAGGGAGAGGCCACAAAAAAGAGAGGCCCGTGTACCGCAAAAAAAAAAAAAAAAAAAATTTACAAAAGAAAAAAATGCTAAATCGATTTTGAGAAATTATCACTAGTGATCAAATAAATGAATAGTAAAAATTAAAAGTACCATTTACACTCATATATTAATGGAAGCTCATTTATTTATTAATTTGCTTATTATAAGACTTCCCATTGTGGATAAGGACGGTGGTATTACCTTAATAATATATATGTACCAAAATTAAATGTTTTAGTATATTTTATATCATGAAATATTTAACTATGCAGTGAAAACAGTCATTCTTATTTACTTAAAACATGTTTTATAATGTGCTTTTCCCCAAAGCTGATACCAATTATGTCTATTTTTTTTCTTTAGCACCTATTTAAAAAAAATATT